GATGCTTTTGTAGTTTGTAGAGCACTAATGAGCTAGGTCTATGCTCTTTTCTGCGGAGGAGCAGATCTGGAATGTCCAGAGTTTATTAATGTCTGTAATGCCGGGCCTCATAGCCACAATGGCTCAACTTAAACTTGGGCTTCTTTGTATTTATAGTGATCTCCTAAATTTATAGTATGTTCTCCTATTTCCATCCTCATGACAGGTAGTGACAAAGGTCCTGAGAATTCAGAGACATGTAGTACTGTGGCTCAGCGGAGAAAGGCTTCCGAAACAACTGGTGAACTCCTGTGTATTATACAGATCAGTGCAAAATAATTTCTGATCATACTTAATTATTTAGGTGGCACAGACTAGGTTTGTGAGAATAGCCATAGAGTTTTGTATTCTGAGAAATATGAAGCAAATATGAAAGTGTTATCAAGGACGGGGTAAAAATTTGTGAAGGACAAATTCCAGAAAGGGCTACCTGTTAAATTCTCATCAAAAAATTCCAAAATTTACGCATTTGCATGGAAATATACAAGTGATATCCTTCCGAATGTAAAGGAATAGGGGTGTCACCACTGAATTAAGAGCTGATTTAGTAGCTTGGTTGTTAATAGACAATTTAAATATGGAAATTCTGTACAATGGACTTATCTAAGTAGTGTAAATGAGAAGCCCTAAATAGAAATTTTGCAGTGATATTGTAGTTAGGCATGAAGGGTTTTCTGCTTAGTATGGATCAGAGGAGTGTGGAAAAGATGTGGAAGTGGCTGACAGGATACAGGCAGCAAATAGCAGGACATACAACAGAGAGCGTCTTCACTGAAAGTCAGGTAGTTCTTAGAGTAAGTATGAAGTAAAGTTGGGTTCTGATTGCTTCATTGAGGTGATCAACACTAGCTCTGGCAACAAACAATCAGTATTCCACATCCCTGTCAACCCATAATTTTTGTGTTCCATACTTGAGATCTAATTTGATTATCTCTAATTATGCCCCATTGTCATGAAGCTGAAATTTTCAATTTTTTTGTACCAAGGATCAAATGCATGACCTATGCTTTCCAGGCAGGTGTTCATGCCACTGAGCTAAATACGCAACTATGAAAATGTTTTCTGTGTAGTAAGGACGATACCCACATTGGTTCTGAGAAAGTGTTGAATATTGTTGGAATTTTTCTGTATTGTATGGCTATAATTTTTTTTAAAAGAAACCAAAGGTGTCTTATGCAGTCTCTTTTTAAGTTTCACTTTGTCTGTTCGGTGTCTCAATCAGGGTTTGTCTATTTTAGACAGCTCTGTAACTTAGGATAGCCCCAAATTCAAGGAAGAAATCCTTCACCAGCCTCCCAAGATATATTTCTTATATTTGAATTGAAAGTGATCACTTGGTGACAGTGAGGTATAATTTACAGCTTGGGCCTGGTTTCAATTTATATACATATTTTTAAAATACAGCTGTTTTCCACTAACACTTGAGTTATTATTTATATACAATATTTGATGTTATTTATGTTTTGTTCTATCAAACCAAACTCATGTTTCAAAATGCTGCTTAAGTATATTAAGAACAAAGTACTCATTGGCCTAAATGAGATTTGAACAGACATCATCTGTAGTCTATCAAAGTGATTACTGAGATTTTTTATTTAATTTTGAAATTGGTAAAATAGAACAGAACAAGGCAGCATAAGGTCAACTAAGATCACACAGTGAAATTGGTACACACCTTCACAACAGGTTACTGGGATAACAGTATTAGGTATCACAGTATATTTTGTTATCTTTGTCATAGTTGTTCTTTAATCACATATATCAAAATGAGATGAAATATAGAACATTATAGAACTTATCAAAACAGAATATTCAATTGAGCAGTACCATTAATCAGAATAGAGTGAAACAATAATAAAAACATTTTCCTTCAAAGAGATAGTAGAAGGAAGTCCCCATTATTTGCTATGTTCAACTTCCCATGAGATGCTCAGAATTCTGGTTCCTATTTGCTAATGTGGGGTGACAGGAGAAGAGGGGTAGGGAAGTGGGATGTTTGATTCTAGGTGGTGCATCAGTAGGTTTGGGGTTGCTTACTAGGGAGGCAAGCTGGTTGTTTGGTTTCACAGCGCCCTAAGTTCCAACATAGAACGGATCTTAGGAGCTGCTGCTGGTTATCCCCCCGGAAGGGCTACAGTTTTCCAGAATGCCACTGCTCACCAGGGAGGGGAGGTGCTTGCTTGGCTTTCCAGTGTCCTAAGTTCCAACATGGCAGGGATCTTAGGAGCTGCTGCTGGTTATCACGCTGGAAGGGCTGCATTTTTCCAGACTGCCACCGCTGACCGGGGAGGGGAGGTGCTTGCTTGGCTTCCCAGGCAATTGATGAGACATTTATCTGCCTCTGTGCTTTGTGGTTGCTGGTCCTGCAGGCTTCTCACTGTGAGCTCTGCTTCAGAGAAAGTGCACAGGAAATCTTGCCATGACTCATCACAAGAATCAGTGGTCCTATTTGGCTGTTACATTAGCAGTGAGTTGCAATCTAGCATCAAATTTGCTGTCTTCAAAAATGTGTATAAACACAAAATTAATGACCAAGACATGGATTTAAATTTGAACAAATCAGTTTTCATTCAGCTGTTTTGTTTGGATTTATTTGTTTAGTTTAGTTTTGTTTTATTGAGACAAGCTTTCTGTATGTATATCAGGTGGATTTGAACACCCTGTGGAGCCTAGAATTGCCCTGACCTCACTGATGCGTTCCTCTCTCTGCCTTTTGAGTGCTGGGTTTATAGATATGCACCACCACACTTTGCTTTTGATTCAGATTTGTAGGAGAGAATTTAAGATATCCCAAACCTGGGGTCTCAACCTTCCTTTGAGAAATATATGTATGATCCTTTAGGAGGCAGTGACCTTTGAGGATGTGGTTGTGAACTTCAGCAATGAGGAGTGGATTTTGCTGAGTCCATCCCAAAAGAACCTCTACAGAGATGTGATGGGTGAAATCTTTAGGAACATGGCTGCAATAGGTAAGGATGAAATCTTTTTGGCACTCATGCTGTCAGAATATTGTTTGTTGCTCATTAGTGCTGTTTCATTAAAAAGAATATGAAAATATTTTTAAAAATAGCTCAGACCTGGACACATTATATCATAAATCTAAATAAAATCTATTAATTTGTATGCATTACTCAACTGAGTCCTGGTATTTCTATGTCTACAATTCAGGAGGACTTGGGGACATCCAGGAAGCTGAAAAAGAAGGCAAAATTTACTGGAGATACTTAAGGTAATTCACACTCACAAGGAGAGGAATGTTCCTGAGTAATTAGTGAGTCAGCAGAAAAGTGACCACCAAAGAAATGAGGCACCATTCAATTTAATGTCAGTAATATTCCCCAAAGATGTATAAGCTAGTGTATATATGAGGGAATTAAATCATGAAAATGTATGACATTGCATATAGTTGTATACGAAAGGCATACACTTTGAGTTATGACATTCTGCCTTCAGTTTTTCTACCCATATATACATGTGAATACAACACATTCATTATCTAATAATTGCTAAGATTGCAATAGAATTTGAAATAAAACTGAGTGCTCATGTTTCCAAGCCACGGCCTAGACAATTGTCGATTCTGACTAATATTCTTAGTAGGCAGTTGGAATGTTAGTGCACTCATTTTGAATATCAGTATGCAGTTGTCTCTAGAAATTGATCCCCTCATACTTGTCCTGAATATTTTTAAAATGACAAAATCTGCATAAAATACTGATACATGCTTATTCATATACAAAGCAGATCATGTTATAACAGATCAGGCCTTGAAGCTTATCTATCTATCACTGGATTTGTGGAGAAGGAAAATGTTAATAGACTCTCTGTGATTGTGCATTCTTGTAAACCCAGCACACTAGGAATCAGATTTTGCAGAGTGGCAATTTCAAGTTCAAACTTCACAGCTTAATGATCTATGAAAATCTCTTAAAATAGATTTTTAAAAAGCTATAGATTTATGCTAAGACCTGTTCTTCATTCCGAGCCCAGAATGGAAAACAATGTGTTATGTAATGTCAAAAAATAAATAATATAATGTCACTTGCCATAAGAATTAGATGGGTCTTTCAACCATCAATTCAGTGAAATAGCTCAGCTATAAAACCTAAAAGGTCACTGGCTTTCTTTTAGAGGAGAAACCAAAATACAAAATGTGGAAAGAAATGAAACAGAGTTGTTAGAGAAAAGTAAGACTGACCATATGGAAAAGGGGACTACAGGTTAAGTACAGAAGGGAGATTGTGATGGGGAAACATATGAGAATAATCTGCATGTGATACATATATGTACCCATGCCCAAAGTGAAGCTAAAGATTATGCATTTCAAAGTACCAACTTTTAAGATTTCCAAATGTGTACCAGTCTTTTGGTTGTTTTCAACATATCTTACAAGGCCTTTCTGTTGCTTCATGGTCGGAATTTCTTAGCAGGCATTAAAAACAGAACTTGATATTAATGCAGTCATTAAATGGAGACCAATTTCACTGTGAATTTTTCTGTTTTAAATTTAATATAAGGAAAGATTAAATAAGATAAAATAAGTATAAATAATACTGCTTTTAAAGTGAAAAAAACAATAAGAAATTGCAAGATGATGATTACAAATGCTGATCATAGAAATAGTTATGAAATACAAAAGTGAAACATATGAATTGGGGATTCAAACAGTGAGACTGCAAACAGTTTTGTTCAACTCTCGAAAAAAGCTTAGTAATATGGTTATAAATCCTATATGTGATTTTTTTCTTTACAGAAATGACAAGCTAGGGAAATCTTATGGATACACATCTTGGAAGCAGTGTAAAGAAGTATTCCTTTGTACTGCAGAAGGTAATGTGAATGTGAAAGAAACAGAAACACACCACGATGTTCAGATCCATGAAAAATTTTGCAGTGGAGGGAAACCCTATGTATGTCAGCAGTGTGGAAAAGGTTTCACCAAATCTGGACATTGTAAGCAACATGAAAGAATTCACATTGGAGAGAAACCATATGTATGTAAGCAATGTGGGAAAGCTTTTACCAGACCTGAATGTTGTAAGCAACATGAAACAATTCACACTGGAGAGAAACCCTATGTATGTAAGCAATGTGGGAAACGTTTTACCAGACTTGAATGTTGTAAGCAACATGAAAGAATTCACACTGGAGAGAAACCCTATGTGTGCAAGCAATGTGGAAAAGGTTTCACCCAACCTGGAAATTGTAAGGAACATGAAATAATTCACACTGGAGAGAAACCATATGTGTGTCCGCAATGTGGAAAAAGATTCACCAGATCTAAACATTGTAAGCAACATGAAAGAATTCGCACTGGAGAGAAACCCTATGTATGTAAGCAATGTGGGAAAGCTTTTACCAGACCTGATTGTTGTAAGCAACATGAAAGAATTCACACTGGAGAGAAACCCTATGTATGTAAGCAATGTGGGAAAGCTTTTACCAGACTTGAATGTTGTAAGCAACATGAAAGAATTCACACTGGAGAGAAACCCTATGTATGTAAGCAATGTGGGAAAGCTTTTAAAACACAGGGAGCTTGTAAGAGTCATGAAAGAATTCACACTGGAGAGAAACCCTATGTATGTAAGGAATGTGGGAAAGCTTTTACCAGACCTGGATGTTGTAAGAAACATGAGAGAATTCACACTGGAGAGAAACCCTATGTATGTAAGCAATGTGGGAAAGCTTTTAAAACACAGGGAGAATGTAAGAAACATGAAAGAATTCACACTGGAGAGAAACCATATGTATGTAAGCAATGTGGGAAAGCTTTTAACACATGGGGATACTGTAAGAAACATGAAAGAATTCACACTGGAGAGAAACCCTATGTATGTAAGCAATGTGGGAAAGCTTTTAACACACATGCAAGTTATAAGGTTCATGAAAGAATTCACACTGGAGAGAAACCCTATGTATGTAAGCAATGTGGGAAAGCTTTTAAAACACAGGAATATTGTAAGAATCATGAAAGAATTCACACTGGAGAGAAACCCTATGTATGTAAGGAATGTGGGAAAGCTTTTACCAGACCTGGATGTTGTAAGCAACATGAAAGAATTCACACTGGAGAGAAACCATATGTATGTAAGCAATGTGGGAAAGGTTTTAACACATGGGGATACTGTAAGACGCATGAAAGAATTCACACTGGAGAGAAACCCTATGTATGTAAGCAATGTGGGAAAGCTTTTAACACACGTGCAAATTGTAAGGTTCATGAAAGAATTCACACTGGAGAGAAACCATATGTGTGTAAGCAATGTGGGAAAGCTTTTAAAACACAGGGAGATTGTAAGAAACATGAAAGTTCACATTCAATATAAAACCAGTGTATATAGGCATCATAAGAATGGTTTCAGCACATGTACATATTGCATAATGCATGAAAATCTTCACACTGGGCAGAAAACTTACATATGTAAGGAATGTGGAAAAGGTTTCAGCAGAAATGCTCATTGTACAATACATTATAAAATTTACATTGTTGAGAAACCCTGTGTGTATGTGAAGAATGTGGGAAAGCTTTCACCACACATGGATTTTGTAAAATACATCTATGACTTCACACTGGTGAGAAAGCCTATGTATATAACAATGTGGCAAAGCTTTTACTGCATATAGTCATTGCAAAACACGTGAAAGAATTCACACTGGGAAGAACCACTGGCTATGTAAGCAAGTGGAGACACTTTCACCAGCCAGATTGTAAGTGAAATACATGAAAAAACTCACACGAGATAAATCCTATGTGTTATGGGAATACTCTCAGCATGCTTGATCATTGTTACATATCTGAAATAGTTCACTAGGCAGAGATGATATGTGGATTAACTATGTGAAAAATATAGCCATCTTTCTTGTTAAATACATAGAAAAAGCATCACTGTTCAGACAGTTTAGATCTAAGTTTACTTTAAAAACCCCAAGGAGACCTGAAGAAATAATCAATACAGAAATTAGATGTCAATATTTCTTCACAAATATTCCAGAAATGACAAATCTGAGGTGGGGCTCTCCTTAGGTGCACATGTTGCATTTGGTTTTCAGTTAAACACTTGTACCTCTCTAGATTTTTTAATCTAGATGTTTTTGTGCTTCAACATGGCATCTTGTAACTAAACATGCTAAACTGAAATGGGCTTTTCACTTTCAAGTATGGATAGTGCCTCCATACTCAATATTTTGTCTTTAAAACTTAAATTTTGTATTTTTATGGTGAATTTTAATGTTGTTTATTTAAAGAGGAAAAAAAGTGTAGAAATAATAAAGAATTTCAGAAAAATAAACAATAAGAAATCACTAGTTGATTAGTATCATATTGTCATCTTAGAAGTAGTTGTTCAAGTTACAACTTTAAAGCATACAAACTGATATTCAAATAATGACACTGTCATGGTTCACCTCAATGATCCACCAAAAAGTTATTAGTATGCCTATCTGTCCTACACACTTTTTTTTTTCTTAAAGAGGGTAAGATTAAACATAGCGAAACAGAGCAAAACAGTTCATAAGAAAACAAGTTAAGGAAACACAGATTTCAAAGCAAGCCCACTGGAAATGTTCACTGTCTATCTTACTGTCTCTAGTTTTCTTCAAAATAGTTGTTCCCATCCTCACACACATTGAATATATACTGAACATTATAGAACTAATCAAATAATTACAGGATGATGCAAGCTTTTCCGATCTTCAAGACTGATTTTGGCGAAGTCGATAATGACTACCATAATGTCTCTCATTGTCTTTGTAGTAGCTGCCTTTATCTTTATATATGCTGAAATGGAACATAAGAGACTAGACTAATATCACTCTGAACAGTGAATAATAATATCCTGAGAAGGAGAAAGGTGAGGAATTGCCTAAAAAAAGAAGGCAGAGGACATACTTAAAAGTGTATCAGGATTTAAAAGCTAAAGTCTTGTTGCTCTGTTTAGTTTGGTTATATTTTGTTCTGGTCTGTCTACTCATATTAGATTTGAGGGCACAGAGAGATAACCCAAAATAGCACGTTATACCATGGTAATTATCCTTAATTTCCTATTAACTAAAACTGAATCCCTATATTACTTACATTGTCTTCAATGACTGATGTTCTTTGAAGCTGGATTGTTTCAATGTTATTTGGCCTTGACTGATTTTATTCACATTTGGTATGCTTGCTGGTATCAAGTTCAAGAGCAGAGGCAACTACTCTGAAGATGACAAGGTGTAGAAGATATCCATTGGTGGGCTGGGTGTTTAGCTCAGTGGCTTAAGGCACCTGCCTGGCAAGTGTGAGGTCATGAGTTTCATCTCCAGAGCCAAAATAAATAAATAAATAAAAGATATCCATTCCAGGTTTGATTATTTTTTTAATTAAAGAGAAGAAAGGAAATAAAAAACAAAGCAGTAAAAGGGTACAAGTAATACAGAATTTCAAGAAAAAATACCGTAAGAAATCACTAGTTAATAGGTTACATATTGTCATTGCTAGGGTTATTTCCAAAAGATGAAAAATATTAACAAAAGATGAGAAATATAAAATAAAAAGTGTCCTTTATTCTGAGAACATGGAGAGAAATGACCAGCACCCTCACCGCTGGCGTCCAGCAATCTCTCCAGCGGACACGTCGCGTGGGGGCCTATAAATAGCCTCGGTTTGGGGTGGACACCTAAGGCGGGCATTAGGCATACACAAGTAGCCCCTTGGTCCTAGGTTTTGCACCATATGTAAATTTCCAGGGGCTGGAAGATGGCATCACAGGTAACTTCCTAGGGGCAGGGGAGATGGGGCTTCCTGCTTCCGGTTGTGGCTTTCCTGGCTACAGTGTCCTATCTGGGCCAAAATCCTTTTAGCCATCTTAGAAACAGTTGTCCAAATTGTAAAATTAAAGCATATAAAGTTGACATTCATACAGTGAGATTGCAGAAAGTTCTGTTCAGTGATCCAACAAAAGCTCAGTAATATGATTTTCCATCCTACAGACTCAAGCATGTAGTTATATCCCTTAGACCACCTTCCTTTCCTCTCTTTTTTACAATAACAGTTACAAGTTTTGAGTTTTTTTACTCCCACAGTTCTTATTACATTTTTTTGAAGAGAATAAATCCTAACATGACTAAACAAAACAGAGACAGTTAGAACAGAAGGATGGGCATAGTACATGATGCAAAAATAGAATATCAGATGATCAAAAATGGTTACCATTGTGCCTCTTGCTATTTTTAAAAAGAGTTGCTATATCATCAGATATAATAGAATTGATCAAAACAGTACAGAACAAGACCAATCAAACCTACACTGGAAACCTTGCAAGACTTCAAAAGAAGATAATAGTCAAACTATAATGGGCCATCATAATAAATCTTATGGCCTTCAAAGTGGTTGTCTATACCCTCAAACTTGGTACTATCAAACAAAATAGAATATAGTAAAATCAGACATAACAAGATGTGGAGTGCAATACTGGGGTTCAAATCTGGTTAATAGGAAAACAAATAGTTACTATAATTTATCCTGCTATTTTTAAATTTAGTTTTCCTTAATTGAAAAAAATAAAAAATTTTAATTTAAAAAAGGGTGGAGATTGAGATAAAAGAGGACATTGTAATAGAACAACACTGGTCAGAATGGAACAATTTAAGCATAATTGTGTTTCACTCCCAGATAATCTAACATAATAGTAGTCACCAGAGTGCCTCATTCCTTGAATTATTTGAGTATAACTTCACATACAATAGCATCAAGCATATCAAGACAGTGTGAAGCCATTCAACAGAATGAAAGAATTACAGGGTATTTAGAACCAGTTAACAGAAAACGAACAATGGTTTCTATATTATCTCCTTGCCTTTTAAAAATTTTTCTTTATACTATCACATATAGTAGAATATAGTAAGATACATGTTAAAACCAGTGGAAACAGATAGTTTGTTAGAGAGGGACCATTCTTGCACCACTGAGATTGAGCCCAGTGTTGATAATGTTGGTTAATTTTGAATATGCTGGTGAGTTAACGTTGCAAACATTTAGCTGAACACTTTTGTTTATGTTTGGTAGGAATATTAGCCAACAGAGTGTTTTCATTTATATTATTTTTAAGACATTATTATCTGGCTTCATTCTCAGGATAACTTTAACTTTGTCACTTAAAAGAAGTTGATGGTGGGTTTTCCTTCAACTTGATCAAAGAATTGAAAAACAATCAGTATTTATTCTTTATTATATACTGGATAAAATTCACCAGTGCACTTTTTGTATCCCAGCTTTGTTGTTGTTATTAAGAAGCTGTGATTTTTACCCATTGCCTGTGCTCCTTATTGCTCTGTTCATCAGACTATTTCATTCTGATGCGTGTTTTTCTGGGACATCAATGCTCACCACATATCCATTAAGGGTCACATGTCATTTTACTTTCAGATGCTAACATTTACTTTTGTCTCTTCAAACTATCTCTATAATATGTAATTTTGTAACTCCTTTCCCTTACTCAGTTTTTAATGCACACTCTTGCAGGGTTTGGTTACTGATGGAGGAAACTGGGGCTGGTGAGGGCCTGGTCTCTTATTTAAGGCTTCATACCCTGACCTGCCTGCAGTGTCCCCATCTCCTGACCTACTCCCTGTAAACATCTGTCCTACTCCATAGCTACGGTGAGTCCACACGTGGCAGTTCAGATCTGCACCTGGGTGGAAAACATTCAGTCATGTTGGGGTTTGTGACAGACTGGCCTTCTCATACAGAGCTCCCCTGAGTGAGACAGGCATGTAGGAAGGAGCTCTGGAACCATTCCAGCTCTCCCCTGTCCAGTGTGCAGTGTGTGATGCTTTCCTGAGAACTCACTGATGGAGGAGACAGCCTGGACCTGGGTATTTTTTAGCCATGGTTCCTGCTAGGAGACATGGTGTCCTGAACCTCTGCCTGGACCATCTCTGTGACTTGAGATTTCCACAGAGATGTGAGCAGACTCAGTCTTCTTCTACCAGGCTCTAGCTCTATGCTGAGGCTTCAGGTGAAAAATCTGTGACCCTCAATTTATCTTATATACATTTAACCTGGAAATTCCACTCCTAAGGGTCATTATAAAAATGAGATTTACAGACACCATATTCTCTTCTTAATCAGGTAAAATGTGGACAATTAGATACCATGAATGTTCCACAGCACAGCTGCTGAGTTAATTATAAATTACAGCCACTGAAAATGCTAAAAGAAGGCCATGTCCTAGGCCATGTCCCTGATCTTTCCTGAGATGGAAGAGAGCTTGTGTCCTGGCTCTCTCTCCACCCA